GTCAAGGTTCATAAAATGTAATGCCTGTAGTGAATATTTTAATTCTGGCATTTCCCCATAATAAAAACAGATCACTAAGGATAACTTATAATCTTGCCCACAGTAAAATATTTCTGATACATATGTGATTATATAACTATATGCCTAATAATGTCACAATATCAACCAATATTGTCAGTTTGTTTCTCCATTGAATTCTGCATTATTGTTTGACATCTATAAGAAGCTAAATAATATTCCTATTATATAAATACTTAATATTTAATATTTGATGTTTAATTAATATTTAAATATTAATTTTAATATACCATTGTATAATAATTATAATGCTAATAATAACATCATTGAGGAAATAAATCCTACTAATAATAACAGCATGGGACTCACAGTTTTTCAAACTGAATGAGTTCCTTCTGGGAATACATTTTTTAAAAATATTTATTTTTTAGCTTTAGGTGGACACAATATCTTTATCTTATTTTTATGTGGTGCTGAGGATTGAACCCAGTGCCTCACGCATGCTAGGTGAGCGTGCTACTACTTGAGCCATATCCTCAGCCCCACATTTTTCTTTTTGATAAATTAGTTTCTTTCACTGGAGTTTTTCTATATTAAGAATAGAACAAAAGACACTGGCCAGAGTTCAGGCTCAGGCACAGGACTACCTCTGCTGACCAGCAGCAGATACTGGCCAGAGCTCATGGCCCGGCCCAGATCCACCTCTGCTGACCTGTGCGGGAGCCCAGGCCCAGGGTAGACCCAGGTCCTCCCCACCCTACCTGGGAGCCCAGGCCTAACCCACTTCCATCTTGGGATACTGTAGACATTCTCATAGCCTTCTTCAAAAAGTAGCATCTACTTTGTGACAACAGACAGGGACTAGAAGCAGCTGCGTCTCGGAGTAGGCATCCCAAGCCAGTGTAAGGCCTACCCATTCAGCCCCATCTCTGAAAGACATTGCATCCATCCTGGGGCACCTCTGCTATTTCTGCCACCACCTTAGTTACAGTAGCATCCATCATGGGACACTGGCAGGGTCAAGAAGCCCAACATCAAGGTAAGCTACAGATGATCTGCACGGATACTACAAGATTATAGGGTAGAAACTGTAACATCTGAGATTCACACTGCAAGAAAGGAAGACGCATAGGTAACATGAAAAAACAAGAGAGGAAAGTGCCCCCAAACAAACCAGGAAACTATAATAATGGAACCCATGGACAGCAAATTTTTGATGAAATTTCAGAGAATGATTTCAAAATGTTCATAATTAAAATGTTCGTGAATTAAAGAATGACCTAAATAAGCAAATGCAGGCAAAAATTGATCACTTCAACAAAGAGATAAGAGCAAATTCAGGTGTCCATTGATCACACCAACAAATAGATAAGGGAGCAACTACAGGTAGCAAAAGATTACTTCAAGAAAGATATAGAGGCTCTGAAAAAAAACACACAATCAGAAATGCTTGAAATGAAGGAAACAATAAACTAAATAAAAAACTCAATAGAAAGCATCACCAACACACTAGACTACTTGGAAGACAGAATGTCAGATAATACATACAAAGCATATAATCTGGAAAATAAAGTTGACCACACAGTGAAGATAGTAAGAAACCATGAAGAGAACTTCCAAGAATTATGGGACAGCATCAAAAGACCAAATCTAAGAGTTATTGGGATAGAGGAAGGCACAGAGTTTCAAACCAAAGGAATGCACAATCTCTTCAATGAGATAATATCAGAAAATTCCCCAAACATGAAAAATGAATTGTAAGCCTATATCAAATATAGGCTTACAGGATACCAAATGTACAAAGTTACAATAGATCTACACGAAGGCACATTATAATGAAAATGCCTAACATACCCCCCAAAATCATACAGCATGTAATCCAGAGCCTAACTGTTTTGGCCATTCTTACAGCTACCCCCTATTTCTGGCATGGATTAATCATGAGATTGTGAACAAACTATTTAAAAACTCTGCATTAATTTTTCTGTTTGTTAAATGATACTAGGTTTGTTATAAGATAGCTTATGTACATATTTCATCTATACAAAGAATCTGACAGGAGTACTGTAAATATGCTAGAACTATCTATGGAGAGTTGCACAATTTCTTATACAAATATACATATCTCTCTGTTATGAATACATGTGAAGTACATGCATATTTCACATATATTTTGAGGCATATGTGTTTATGTATGTACACACATATTTGATTTATGTACCTAACAGATAAACATTCTTGTAATACTAAAATGGAGTATTTAAAAATTTAACCAGCTAATAAACTATGCCTTTCTTCTGTGTCTGTTCATTTTCTACTGGCTAGAACTCAGTCATGTGGTCAGAGAGCTGCCTTGGAAATGTATCCTAGCCAAGTGCATAGAAATAAGAGGAATCAACTTTTTGGACAATTAGCATTTCTCTCACAATTTGCCTATTTCCATTTACCAGTTATCTGTGCATACCTTTTTCCCAACACTCATATTGACTCTCACAAAAAGACAAAACTGAAAGTTTCATCCGTTACTGCACCTGAAAGTCAAAGATCTTGGAGGACATACCCTCTCCATCAGGGATGAATATGGCTATTTCTGGTTCATAGCATAAAAACTGGAGATCTGGTTATTCCTTGCTTTCCTCTTACACAGTGCAGATTGATGAAACCAAGCATATGCTATCATTAAAAACTCACATTCAGAAAAAGGAGGAAGTGGAAACACATTGAAGTCATTGGTACATAGCAACAATGTTGTTTTGCTGGGCTGATTTGTAAAAACCTCTGCCCTAACAGTGTTAGAAGTTTTTAGAATTACATCCTGGTTCTGCTTTATTGGGAAGAACACCTCTTGGCTCTCCTCTCTCAGAGGTTTTCTCCTGTCTCTTATCCCAGTGGGCAATTCTAATAAGAACATTAGAGAATAGGTTCTCTTTGAAGGTTGGAAAGTGTTGCATAATTTCTTTTGGTTTGAAAGTTCAATCAGTTAAAACTTTATTAGACCATAATATTGGATTCATTAGTGGTATAAATCCTCCCAAAACAGCAGACTTCTGATCTATTTGCCTCCAGTATCTTCTGCATGCCAGTAACCGAAGCCAAGTTCATGTTCCAGACATTGTTTTTAGGTCTTTATTCCTCTGCTTACTCTCCCTGTGCCTGTCTTTCTGTTAATGAGGCTTCCTTAAATTATGAAACAGCGGACTTGGACAGGAAGACAAAACTTCTTGTCAGAACTTTGCCATAGGATTAAGCACCTTTATATAATACAGAAAACACACACACACACACACACACACATACATATACACATATTTAGTTGTAGTTGGACACAATACCTTTATTTTATTTATTTATTTTTATGTGATGCAGAGGATAGAACCCAGTGCCTCGCACATGCTAGGGGAGTGCTCTGCCACTGAGCTACAGCCCCAGCCCAATAGTCAAATCTTTTTAAATTCTTTCTTGCTATGTGGGATCAAGAAACACTTGGCTATTATAACCAGACTCCATTTCTGGATTCTTTCTGAGCCCTTTCATTTCTGGTTGAAAACATCAGCTTTACTCAGTTAATAATACTACCACACTAGTGAGTAATATGAAACAAGCTGTCTTTTGCAACTATCTTATGCAAATAGCAAGTTTCTAGGTTTTCTGCCTTGCAAATTATTACAGATGACTAAAAAATGTTTTGCCATTTTAAGTGTGTGTGTGTGTGTGTGTGTGTGTATCTCCATCTTTTCAGTCTGTGATATTATTTTCTGGACACCTCCTATTTGACAGCTAAGTCAATGACACATATTTTTCCGTTTTGGTTATGATATATAAGTGATTTCTGATACGAATTCTTTATTGTAACTAAAGTACACGTTTTAAGTGATGTTAAGTAGTGAGCTAGTTTTCTCAAGTCTATTTCTCAGGGCTGTCTACTAAACCTATGTTTTAAACCTTTTTTTTTTCTACAACCCACAACAAAACCCACAATTCATATCAACATACAAAACACATATATAGAAACACATAAGCCAGATAGGCCAACAGGACTATATGTCTATACTGGAACTGTTTCTGGCAACCCCATATGTGTGGTATGGCACTGTGAATTCCTTTTCTGCTGCTAAACTGATTTTTCACACTAGATTTTAGAATTATGCTTAAAAAATGCTGGGTATTTTGTTATAACTTCTTCCTTGATAACCTATATTAACATGAATTTTGTATACTGATTATAATACCGTTTTTTGGGGGGTGGGTACTGGGGATTGAACTCAGGGTCACTCGACCACTAAGCCACATCCCCAGCCCTATTTTGTATTTTATTTAGAGACAGGGTCTCACTGAGTTGCTTAGCGCCTTGCTTTTGCTAAAGCTGGCTTTGAACTTGTGATCATCCTGCCTCAGCCTCCCGAGCCACGGGGATTGTAGGCGTGTGTGCCTGGCATAGTACCATATTTTTAAATAGTGAATTTAATGATTAGGAGTAAATAAGTATCATCCATTCTGATAACTATACATTTTATTTAAATTGCATATGTATCTTTTCACTTAAAATTTATATCCCTGAAGTGTTAATTACAGCTATGTTTGACCTAACTTTAATTGTGCTTAAGTACTATTAAGGATCAAGAACAAACAGTAGGAATAACAATCTTTTCAGTTTGATATCTGAAAAAGGTCTTTATAATTACTAGTTTAAAAAGATACAATCTTATAATTGAAGTATTGAACTTTCTATTTAAAAATATAAATGCATTTGTCTTTTTTTAAAGTTTAAATTATCATGGAGGTGCATCTTAATGCTGGAAAGGAAGCAAACTTTCAAAGTTAGCTAGTAAGCCCAAGTAGAACAACATCACATTTCTCCTTAACTCTTAAATAAAGAGGAAATATGGAACAGGAAATGTAAAATTTAAAGACGTGTTGGTTTGTTTCTTTTCATTCATCCCACAGTCTCTGAATTTGTAATCTTCTTTCCTTTCTCTTTTAAGGCCCATTGAAAGAACGGCACACGAACACAATGTTGTATGGAAGATGCTGAAGACAATTCCAGAACTAACCTCACAGCTAAAAGATGAGCATCTGAGAACACTTAGTAAAAATATCATTTCTGAAACCTGGATCAAAGGCAGCACAGGTAATAAACCAAAACATGTAGCGAAGTCTAGTAAGATGAAATGCATGTATCTCTGCTGACTTCTCCGCCACCCCAATGCCTACGATATCACTCCACATGTAAAATGTACTATATGACTGTTTTCTAGTCATAAGATGATAAGTAGTGAAATATGAATAACATCTCACATTTTAGTATGAAAGGTTTAAGATAGACACCATTGTACCTCAACTTTGAGCACATATCCAAATTACAGTCTTCATGAGACTCATCTTGCTAGGTACAGATCCCAGAATTTGTGATTCAGTAGGTTTGAGGTGGGGCCCAAATTGCATTTATAGTAATCTTTTGAGTGATTGTTATTCAATTATCATCAAGTGATTACAAGTCTGAGGCCACACTTTCAGAACTGCTCTATATATTGCATAATAGTCTAGCATTGGTTTTCATGGTTAAAACAGTAGTTACCTGATTAGTTACCCACTCCAGAGGTTGATCTAGATATTGTGAAAAAAACAACAACTCTCTAGACAGATTTTAGTTTCCAATTTTAGTCTTTATTCTATTTATCAGTGATATAGAAGAAATATTAATTAGAAATACATATATTTGAATCCTTTAGGGAGAGGCATATAAGTTGTACATTGTATCGAAGACATCCATTCATGAGTATCACTGAAACAAAGATATATATTATTCTTATTTTATACAGAACAGTTATAATCAAGTTTCAAATATACTTCTGCCTAATGCTTACTTTGTTCTTTGTGCATTATATCATTGTTTGTTTAAAGTGGTTCATCAGGATCATGACATTTAAAACCTGACTGGCATTTTGGAGAAAATGTGTCTATTGAAAAGATTTACATATTTTGATAGTTTTTCCCCAATGGTTTTCTCCCATAATTAGTTCCATTTAATCAGAGTCAATCAGTGAAAAATAAATCAAGAGTTTTACAGAGATTAAAATAATTTTAAGGGACAAAAATAAAAAGTATTCAACAATGGTTTGCCATTATCTTGAGAATAATAGTTAAAATTTAATTTGTTTTATAATCACATGCTTTTACCATTATAAATTATATTTGGTAATGGTAAAAAATATGTGACTAATATACATTTTCTTCAATAGAAGAATACATAATGCTTCATCTAGTCTATGGAGTTCTAAACAGTGTCTAAAAAGAATGTATATTCATTTATATAAATATTAAAGGTAGTAAATAAAAATAGAACTATTAAAGAATTATATAAACTTTTATAAAAATGTATAAATTTGTGTGTATTTTTTAAATATATAAGAATGGGTCCAGAAAGACATTTTAAAAATACATATATTTTAAGAGGTTGCCTTAATGGAAGGGAGTAAAATTGAGGGATTTTTTAGTTTTGGTTTGTTTTGAATGTCCCCCAAGGGTCCATTGTGATTAAAGTCTTGCCACCTCAGAAGGTATTGTTGGGAGGTGCTGGAAACTTTGGGATATGGAGCCTGGTGAGGGTCTTCAGATCACTAGGGACATAATTGTCTGCTGTTGGACTTTGAACCTATAAAATGAGCTAAATAAACCTTTTTCTATATAAAGCCAGTTTTTTTGTGGTAGTAATGAAAGCTAACTCAAGGGCAATAAATGTTATAATTAATTCTTTCCTCTACATCTATTTTTGTTGGTTTACTTTTTCCCCAATGAATACAGATTCATGTGTTTGTAGATGTAATTACAGATTTACTTCAAGAAAGTTTTAAAAAATAATTAGAAGCAACATTTTATTCTAGTAGCATCTTAATAACTCAAGTTACTGACTTTTAAGGTATGAAATTTCAATAATAAAATATTAACATTAACTTGATTATTTATACTCAATAAAGCATTCAAACTTGTATTTCGGTAGGGCATACTTTTGACACTTTTTAATAAATTTAGAAGTCTCTTTGTTTATACATACTTGTGTCAAAATCCTTCTCCTGGGTTTTTAAGATATCTAGTTCTGACAGCTTGGCTGTTTTACTATCAAAGCAGTCAACTCATTAAATATTTGACCTTTGTAGATCTCTTTGTTCATCCAGCTTAAAAAACAAGCCCAACTAGATGTCTGTCTCTCTCCTTTTTCTCTATTCATATATGCATGCCCTCCCTCTGCTGTTATTTAGAGAATTCCCTTATGTGGTCCCTCATCCCCAGGATGCTGACTTTCAATCTGCTGCAGAGGCTTTCCTTTCTCCAGTGCAATTCCACACAGCTGTCTGCACCTTCTGGTCTCTTTTCTGGCCACTACTTCTTTAGAGCTACATTATTTAAGGAAACTTCTTACACTTGCCATTATTCCTTCGGCCTCTTATGTATTCAGATTTAAAAATAATAATATATTAACAAGGAAATAATATTATGATATTTCAGTAGTAAATAGGATATGCATATCTCTAGTTTAAGTTAAACTTAAATCATGCTTCTAAAACATACTCTTTTATTATTATATTATTTATATACTCTAAGAGTGGTACAACTAAAAAGTACTTATATTACTGTGTTAAAATTACTGAATATATATCACATGTAGTCGTCTCTTTCTACATGTGCATATACAGAGACAAACTGAAGTCAAGTGATTTCAAGAATTGTCCATTGTGTTTTCTCTTGTATAGCCTAGGAGATGACATTTTTAAGATTGACGATCTCATGAAAAGTAGAAGAATTAATTTACTTGAGACCATAATCAATAGCTAGCCTGGAAATGGATTACAAATCAAAATCTCATTATTATCTACCTTTATGTTACCATTGAAACATATTCCTATAAAATGATTTTCCTAAAAAATGTTTTAACTTTCAATAACATCTTTACTGTTTCCTGTACTTGAAGCTCACTAAACCTTACAATATTATTTATCTTCTATTTCGTTAATTCAGTTTCATCTTTTTTCTGATTTTTCATGTGGTTATATCTCAAAATCTGCATAGTCATTTAAATATTTTTTTTATTTAATTTCAACATTGAAAATATTTTTATATTGCTAAATTTTTAGTATATCCTTCACTTGTAGAGTCTTTTTTTCCTGTTATGATTTAAATTTTACCTAGTATATAAAAATACAGTAGCTAAACTCATGAAAAATGTAGTAGGGCATCTTTTCCATGTATAAATCAACCATAATGCAAATAGTACATTTTTATGATAGAAATAACAAAATCTTTAGTTCTACCATAAAGACCATGACTTCCCTAGACATACAGAGACTTGAAGGGTGTGCGGTTATCTGACGTGCAGACATGCTTTTATGGAAACTGAAGCAGCATGGTCAGAATGCTTATGTCCAGCCTCCCACCCCATGAACTTTGTATGTCGAAATTCTTACCCATGAGGTTATAGTATGAAGAGGTGGAATGACATAATTTATGTATGCAAACTACAAATGTGAACTCATAGGAAGATAGAGTAAAACAATAATGACCAGAGGCTGGGGTGGCAGGTGTTTAGAATGGGGAATAGTTAGTTAAATGATATTAAATTTCAGATACACAGTATGAATAAATTTAGAGGTCTACTGCTGATAATCAATATAATACATATTATATTTTTAAAATATCTTAAGAGTAAATACCAAACGTATCACTATAAAAATATACTAAGTACATAAGCTTATGGTATATTAATAGCTGTATTTATTTATTTTTAATTTTTTATTTGTTCTGTTTAGATATATGTAACAGTAGAATATATTTTGACATAATAAGCATACATGGAGTATAACGTGTTCTAACTAGGATCCCATTCTTGTGGTTGTACAAGAAGTATATTCATTTATGAGCATAGGAAAGTCTGATTCATTCTTCTGTCTTTCCTTTTCCCATCCCCCACCTTCCCTTCATCCCCCTTTGTCTAATCCAATGAACATATATTCTTCCCTTCTATTCTTAAACACCCTTTTTTTGGTGTGTGTTAGCATTCACATATCAGAGAAAATATGTGGCCTTGTGTTTTTTGAGACAGGCTTATTTCACTTAGCAAAATAGTCTCCAGTCCCATCCATTTACTGGCAAAGGCCATAGTTTTATTTTTCTTTATGGCTGAGTAATATTCCATTGTGTAAATGTACAACATTTTCTTTATCCATTTTTTTTATACCTTGTTGAAGGCTACCTAGGTTGGTACCAAAGCTTGACTATTGTGAACTCCTATAAACGTTGATAAGGCTGTGTTACTGTAGTATGCTGATTTTAAGTCCATTGGTTATAAACCAAGGAGTGGGAAAACTGGGTCAAATGATGGTTTTATTCCAAGTTCACTGAGGAATCTCCAAACTGTTTTCAAGATTAGTTGTACAAATTTGCAACCCCACCAGCAATGTCGGAGTGTACCTTTTCCCCACACGCTTGCCAATATTTATTGTTATTGTTTTCTTGATATTTGCCATTCTGACTGGAGTGAGCTGGAATCTCAGTGCAGTTTTAATTTGCATTTCTCTAATTGCTAGTGATGTTGAACATTTCTTCTTTTGTTGACCAATCATATGTCTTCTTCTCTGAAGTGCCTGTTCAGTTCCTTAGCTCATTATTGATTGGGTTATTACTTTTTTCAGTGTTAAGTTTTTTGAGTTCTTTGTATATTAATGATTTATAGATTAATGCTCTATTTGAGGTACAGGTGGTAAATATGTTCTGTTCTGTAGGCTCTCTGTTCATGTTCTTGATTGCTTCTTTTTCTCAGAAGAAGCTTTTTAGTTTAAAACCATTCCATTTATTGATTCTTTATTTTACTTCTTATGCTTTAAGAGTCTTGTTGAGGAAGTTGGTTCCTGTGCCAACATAAAGGAGAATTGGGTCCAAATAGCTTGATAAAATTATTCCTTCTTGTTCACATACATCAAAACATCATATTGTATGTACCCCATGAGTGGATATAATTATGTTATCAATTAAAATATTAGCAACAAAGAAAAAGAGAGAAAACTCAATACTAAATTCAGTGGTAAAATAGTGGAACTTACTGCCAAATTTAAGAAAGTTAAAAGAAAATATATTGAA